TCAGTCCACATAGTGACAGAGAGCAGGGCCAGTATGTACTATTATAGACGAGGGGGAGCAAGATTCTCTTTCCCTCTCCACAGAAGCCATGAAATTACAGAACTGGTGCATAGCTCATAATATTCTGATCTCGGCAGTCTGCCTACCCACCAAAACACTGAAGCTGACAGCCTCAGCAGGTGCTTCACTTAGTGGGAACGAGACAGTCGGACTCTGATATTTTTTGCCTGGGATTTCCAAAAACGGATTTTTGCCCCCGCAGCCAATCAAAAACTTGTGCAGTTCTGTTCAAGGGGAGGGTTGGGCCACCGTTCTCTGGGCAATGCCTTTCTCCTTTCCTGGGCAAAGAAACTCCTATGTGTTTCCTCCAATGACACTGATTCTCAGGGTCTTAAACAAAATCAAGCAGGACAAAGCCACGGTCATCTTGTTTGCACCAACTTGGCTGAGATGACAAATTTGGCTTCCTTTTTTTCTTCTCCTGACCAGCTATCAATCTTCTGCTGATGCCTGGTCTTCTCACACAGGACTCAGGGAGTGTCCTTCAAACCAACCTGAATACACTGCGGCTCGAGGCCTGATACCTAGATGGTTCCCGGAGCTAGTACTATCTTACCGCCATAAGGATTCAGGAGATTCTACTGAACTGTAGGGAAGATTCCATCAGAAAGACTTAAAAACCTTTTCCATTTCTGAAGTTGTCATTGATGTGTTCACCATAATTTGTCTCCTATTGATCTCCCACTTCGAAGTATTAGAATACTTATTTACTTTTTGAAGAAAGCAGAACTTGCTTTGAGTTCTGTTAAAGTTCACCTAGCTGCCATCACAGTATTCTATTTTCCAGTACAAGGCTTCTCGATATTTATCTTGCAATGTCAAGATTTATACAGGATCTGTCAATCCTCTTTAGTAGTAGACACCCTACTCCCTCCTGGGACTTAAATTTAGTTTTCAGTGCTTTTGATGAAACCACCCTTTATAGTGTTAGTGATCTGCTTGCTTCTGAACCCCTCCATAAAAGCAGCATTCCTAGTGGCTATTATCTCTGCCTAAAGCAGTGGAGAATTGGGAGCTTTAGTGGCTGACCCTCTATATTCCATTGTTTTCAAAGATAGTTTCTTTGACCATTCTATGCTTCTTACCCAACATTTCTTCAGATTTTCATGTCAATCAATCATTTCATCTCCCAGTATTCTACACCAGTCATCAGTCAAAACAGGAAACTGTTCTTCATATCAGATGTCAGAAGAATGTTGGCTTATTATCTGGGCAGGTCTTGACTTTTTTCAATCCCTTCCTGAGATTGTTTTTCTGTTGTGGACAGAGCTAGCTGTGACAACCCAGTGGGTTTCTGGTTTCATAACTCACCTGTTATGTGGCTGCTAACATTCTCTCCCCCTCTAAAGTCATTGTCAGTTCTACAAGATCATACTCCATGTTTGGGACTCTGCTAAAGGACTTGTTTATTATGGAAATATGCAAGACTGCTATGTGAGCTTCAATTCACACTTTCTCTAGACACTATGCCTTGGTTGATGCTTCCTACATAGAATGTAGACTTTGCTGTCTTACAGACAGCCTTAGGGGCTTCGGCACTCAGTCTGTCTCCTTCAGTGGGTACTGCTAGGAATTCTGGTGCTTGATGCCCACAGAGAGACTACTCAAAGGAGAAGAGGTTACTTACCTTGTACAGTAATTGGAGTTCTTTGAGATGAGTCTCTCTCTATGGGTGCTCCAGTACCCTGCCTTCCTTCCTTCCCCTCTGCTTCAGAGTCTCATCTCTTTAGGGCTTTGCGGTGGAGGAGGATGTGTAGGGCACATGCATTAGCCTAACAGGCACTGCTACAGAAAATCTCCTATGAAGGCGCATGGGGCATAGACACATTCAAAGTGGAGCACCCATAAGGACATATATATTGAACTCCAGTTACTGTAAAAGGTAAGTAACTTCTCTCCTCTGTTCTTTTCTCCTGCCTCTCTGGTCTTGGTGGCATTGATGGAGAGGAAAGAGGAGGAGATTATAACAGCCGATCCAAGAAATTATCAGAGCTGATACACACGTTGGCCTCTGATGACCTAGTAATATACAAGTCGCAATGTACACGGATTGGCAAAGGAATCAGTATTTGCTTAGTGAAAAATGACTATTAGTGGAAAATGTCTTGAAAGCCTCAAGTGAGTATTTCATAACTCTTCAGAGCTATCCATATTTCTTTTTTTTAACCTAATGTTTTTCCCTCTCTTGAGGGAGGAGGATTGAGTACAGAGCTTGTGTGGTGGTGAGTCATTAATTTTAATATATTCTTCCTTTTGCTATCTAGATGCTAATCCTATGGGTGTGAATGGAGGTATGGGGGTTCAAGCCCCTAATCTGCTGCCTGAGTCGATGTTGCATTCGGCAATGAATTCCCAAAAGTAAGTTGAACATTTTACATGGATTAAAAAAAAGTCTGAAAATACTGAACAGAATTCACTTCAAAAAAACCTGAGGGGGAGAAATCCCTACTCCCATGTTGAGAGATTTATATAATCTTTGCAATTAAGACTGGAAAAAAGGAGTATCTTTGGATTTGAGGGCATTTTTGGTATGGTTAAAAGAACATCAGGTCTCATGGATTACCACTGTTAGGCTGAGTTAGTTTTTTGCTAGACCTCAAACATGCAGGTGTTACTGGATGTGATGATGTATTGCAAATCTGTCATCCCTCTGCCATGGGGTTAAGAGCCACTCTGGTGCCTCATCTTTCAGATGAGATATAAAGAGGTAATTACAACTTCTGTCAAACTTTTTGCAAGGGAAAAGAAGTAAACCCCAGTGTCAGGGCCAAATTCCTTTTAGGTAGTTGCTGTGTTTTCCATTGGATTTGGTAGTGTTCATGTCCGTCTCCTAAATAGTTTTGTAGTGCTGCTGCATACTACTAAACATCCATTTTGCCTCACTCCAGAGGTGGGTGTGCGTGCTGCCTTGATCAGTGAAGTGATTCTTATATAGTGTGTAAATCAAATAGTAAATAGTGATTTGTCATCCTTACGTATAAAATAGACTATTCATGTAAGATCATAAGTTTAGCACTTTTTCCTCCTCTAACATCATCTTCTTCTATTTCAAAGTCCCATGATGAGTGAAAGCGCCAGTGTTACCAGTTTGGGAGCTATGCCAACAGCAGCACAACCATCCAACACCGGAATTCGAAAACAGTGGCATGAAGATATTACTCAGGACCTCCGAAATCATCTTGTTCATAAATTGTAGGTATTTGGTATCAAAACAAGGTCTCCCTCTGCCAAGGAAGGTTGGGAGAACTGGAAGGGTTGTAGTATTTTTCTAAGATTAGGAGGCTAAGGAATCAGTTGAACTTAAAGTAGTATAAACACAAACTTTTTAATGTTTTGTAGTTGCACCCCACTCTGCTCCACCCAAAAAAGTAGAGAAAGAGCTACTAGTGAGTAGCTTAAGCTCTAAAGTTGAAGAAGCCTGTTGCTTTGAGCAAGATAGGACATGGAAGTGGATTTCGGATGGGGTGAAGGTCAGAAGAAATAATGGCAAAAATATGGGATTACTTGCTTTCCTTGTGTTAAATCTTAAAATTATATCAGAAGCTACTTTAGGTCTGATCCTATTGTATCAAACATGCCCCTCTGTGCTCCAGATTGGCAGTATTGGGGGAGAGATCTGGAAAGCAATGGGGTTATAGAGACCCCTAAAACTGCAACGTATGATGATCTCTAACTTTCTTTAGATGCTTGAAATAGAGATTAAAAGTCCTTTGTGTTTGAACTTCATTTGGGGCCATTTATTTAAATTCAAAAGATGCATCTTTTTAATCTGTTTCATGGTTTTTCCCTCTTCAGAGTCCAAGCCATATTTCCTACCCCTGACCCTGCAGCATTAAAAGACAGGCGCATGGAGAACCTGGTGGCATATGCGCGGAAGGTAGAAGGTGACATGTATGAATCTGCAAATAGCAGGGTGAGTTGCCATATTTTCCCTCCAGAGCTGCAGAGAGCCCGCATGAGTTTGTCAGTATAGTGGACAGAACTCAAAACTGCTATGGAGACTAGGCAGCTTCTAGTATTCATGGGGTCAGTGTTGAAATACTGTCTCAATGCACCATTCATAAATGAAGTGGTGTTTGTGGGGTGGGAGTAGAGGCCTAACTGACAAGTTGGGTCCCAAAAATGAATAAAAGTGTAGTAGTTTTTTTTTTTAAAGGTGATGCTGACATACACAAGGGCCAACAGCAAGCTCCAATCTCTTCCTAGTTTCAGATCTTGTCTTTTTGCTTGAGACTTGTTTGTGGTCTGAAAGCTTTTTATCCTAATGTGCCATGCTTGAGGTTTCTCATTTTCTCCCAAATACAGTATAAACCAGAGCTCACCCTTTACTGTGATGTGTGTCAAATAAATGCACAATATTGGTAGAATAAATCTCCACTGTCAGTCAGTCTTCAGTTGCAGGAAATACTGTGGAATATGCTCGCCTAATCCTATGGGAAAATCACTTCTCAGCACTCTAATATGCAGGGGAGAGACGGAAGTTTTTCCCAGCCCTAAACTTGGTCATCAGTTTTTAATCTGTAAGCTTTACTTATTGTATGTCTCCACTATCTCTTGTCTCTTTATACCCCAACAGGCGGAGTACTACCACTTGTTAGCTGAGAAGATCTATAAGATTCAGAAGGAACTAGAGGAAAAGCGAAGGACCAGATTGCAGAAGCAGAACATGATACCAAATGCACCAGGCATGCCTCCAGCTCCCATGAATCAAGGGCCCAACATGGGGCAGCCACAACCAGGGATGTCTGCAAGTAAGAACAGTTGGGTTAGTTAATAAAAGGGAATAACTTGTGCAGGGGAAATCATTATAGTGGGACAGAATGGGAGCCTTTCTCCCCCATTTTACAGCTAATCTTACAAAATTATAATTGCCTAATTCTCTAGAAGAACTTGAAGTGGCTCAGTGTGTAATAGTATGTGGTACGGTGGTGAGAGCATTTTCCTGTTGTTGCCTATTCACTATGTGAGATTTTGCAAGAACTACTTGCAAAATCTGAGTTAACTTGCGCTCAATTGGTGGAGAAAATGGTGTTTGACAAGACAAAACTTCACATGGGATCTTGTGCACTAACTAAACTTGCCACTATCTGTCTGTTTTGGAGAGTGTAAGCAGAGCTGTCCTGTATTGTGTCCTAAAAGTGGCAAGACTTAGATTCTGATGGATCAATTGAGTGAATTCCAGAGCTGAGCCTATTTCTGAGAATACGCAACCACAGTATGAATGAAGAATTCAGCTCTGGGGACTGAAGTCAACCGTTACTTGGTTAACGGCAGTTGTTATAGCGGCTATGGGAAAGGCTCTGAGATAGCTGGGTCATAAACCATTTACAACTTTAAAAAAAATAAAGAATTGGAATTGTAACCAGTTTAGAGCATTGGTGAGATGTGCTCTTGACAGCCTGCCCTTACCTATAAAGTTGCCATATTCTGCACTTTTTGCAGCTTCCCAGTGGCTATTTAAAGGTAATCCAAAGTGGAGAGCACATTGCTGTAAGCTAGCCTGGAGCTACATATGCCTAGAAGACACTGTAAAGGTTGTCATTGGAGAGAAAAGGATGTATATTAATCTCTTGAAAATTCAGAAGTAAAAAAATATTTTTGCCCAGAAATGCATTTGGGAATTCAGAATTAGAAGTCCAATAAGACCCCAAAAAATGCATGTGACCTTGACAGATGAACAGATGCCTTCAGTTGTGGGTGAAGTCAAAATCTCAGTGTAATTCTCATAATGCTTCTTCCTCCTTCACAATAATCACTTCCATGTTAACCAAACGGAGTCCCTAAGTGCTGTGGATGCAATGGATTTTGTCCAGGTTTCTCCTTCAGCCAGGTGCTGGGATATCAGAGAAATAATAGTTTGGTCTTGATGGGGGGGGGAAGTAGAACTAGATATTAGCATGCTGATGTTGAAGTCTGTAGTATCACTCCAACAGTCCCCCAGACATCATAAATAAATGGGGTGACAAGGCCAAATTCTACAGGACTGCCTGGATATTAGCGTGTTTAATGTCTTTAAACATCATCAGGTACAGTGTGCTTCATCTGGGTAATTCTAAGCAATAACTTAAGGGCTTGGATTGATGGATGGTTAAATTTCCAATCATTTCTTGCTCAGATTCTCACATTACACTTACAATGTTATAACTCCCACCACCAATCCAACAACAAACAAATCTGCTCATGGCCAAGGAATATTAGACAATGGGTGTAGAAATGTCAGCTGTGGTGATCAGTGTGATATAATAGACTGGGGGGTAGGGTGGGGTGGGACAGACACCATCCTGTTCTGTCCTCCTTTCCCCTTCCGGTTGGTCTTTCTTTTTTATATTTCTGTAAGTAAAACACTTTTACAGTAATAATGACAAATTACTTGTGCTAAAACATACTTGTTTAAGATTAGTTTTGTGTTGGTGCAAGGTGCTGAACTGACAGCTCTGGAGACTGAAGTCCTCTAAGTACAATTGCAGCTCTGTAAACTTATTTCACAGAGCTATTCCCCTTGCTCAGTATGGCCATTCTCCTAACAGGCCACCTACCTCTAAGAATGAGGGGATTTTTTTTCTTGTGCTCATTCAGTTCTTGAGCTTTAGAAGCACTTTACAAATAGGAATTTAGTTAAATATTGAATTTCATGCAGGTGAGCTAAACAGCCATCATATTGTAATGTGTTTTGCTCACCAGACTGGGGTTAGATGGAATTAGTGATGTAGAGGCAAAAAGCTAAACATTTTTCCCAATCCCCTGAGCCATCCATTCACCTCAGAATGTCACTGTACAATTGGGTTAGTCACTTTTAAAAGAGGATGCATTTTGATAAAAAAGTTTGAACTTGATTTCGGTGTGAGATACAGGTCCTTTCAAGGTTGGTACTCTAATTGAATTTGTCAGTCTGCAGTTTAACCTATACAGAACAGTGTTAACACTGCTTAATAGTGCATGAGACATTTTAAGCCTCTGGCCATCTAGTCATTGTAAGTGGTTAATATGCTGTAGATCAGTCCTCAACTTCACAAAGTTCAGAGGTCTTAAACTCTTTTTGGTTAAGAAATAGCACACGTGTTTGTATTTACAAGTTTTTCCATCTTTGTTCCATTGAGTCATCTTTTAGGGCCTAACATGGTCTCACTGTGTTTGGAGTTAATTTGAATATTTCCCAATAAAGTAATTGTTGTAAAAGTGAAGTTTGAGAGGGTGGACTGTTGTCTTAACTCCCTAACCTCTGTTTCTCCAACTCTTTTTCAGATGGTCCCCTTCCTGACCCAACCATGATTCGTGCCAGTGTGCCAAATCAGATGATGAATCGCATGCAGACGCAGCCGGGTAAGTTTCCAAAGAAAGGAAGCGCATGTAATTCCAAATGAATGTGCATAGAATCTTGGATTCTGCCTTCCTCAATGGCTATATGACATCAAGCAGTCCTCACTGGAGTCTATTAGAATGTAGTTTTCTCTGCTCTTCACCAAAACTCATACCTGAAAGCAGGGTCATGGATACACAAGTCTTTCAGGAAAGCCTAGTTTTCATTCTGAAGGAATGTGAAGGAGTTTGGGTTGACATATTAAACTTGATTTCAAACTCTGCCAAGCAGCTGGTTAATGTAAAGACAGATTTCTCTTAGCATATTGGAGTTGTGTGTAAAATACACTTTGTAAACAAAAAAAAAATCCTTTCTCTTCAAAGCATGCTCAAAAACAATTCCTTTGACCCAGAAACTTATTACTAGGTTTATGTGCATTGCTTTCGAAAGGCTTAAAATACCTAAGTTAGAGCCTGAAGTACATTATGTGGCATACTCAAAGATGTGTGTTGGTAGAAATAAAATTAGGAGAGTAGAGGCAATATTTGTTCCTGTTCAAACATTGAATGATGTCCAAATGAGAACTGAAACTTTTGTTTTAAAATCTTTTTGGGGTAAATACACAGGAATGAACCAGTTTGGCCAGATGAACATGCAACTGCCATCCATGGGTCCCCGGCAAACCCCTCCTCTTCAGCACCCTGGACAGCTAAGCCAGGCTGGGGCCATGAACCAGGTCAGTATGTTGAATTCTTTAGGTTTGATGTTCCTGTTTAACTGTGGTTATCCAAACAGTAATTCTTTGCTTGCTCTGTGGTCCCGTTGTTTCTCCTATTGCATCTCCACTATGAGTAGCCAGTCTTTACAAATCAGTGAGGGAACTGCTAATATTGGCTTAGATTTAAGACGGTGTGTGCAGTAACACCCTTGAAACAGAGGAATTTATCAGAAACTAGCTCAGAAACTTGAGGCATGATCTCAGTCTGAATTCCTGAACTCCTGTCCTAAACTGAATTAGGAAGTAACTAAAAATATATTCCTGCTTTTAAGCAGAGTATTAGCATATTTGCCATGCTGCATCACATCACATGCTGCCAGATGTCAATTGCTCTGCCTTGCACTGGATGTTACTTTGTAGAATTTTACTTTTAAGGGTGAGTGAGTGGGTATGTATACACTGTGAAATAAGCCTTTCCTTTTTCCCAGCAGATGGGATTTGCTTCACGTATGCAGCAGCCGGGGGTTGGCCAACCTTCCAGCCAAAGTCAGTTTCTGCAACAGAACCAGTTCCCTGCTTCCTCCCCAGGAATGAATGCGACAAACATGCCTATGACCCAGCCTGGCAATCAGACGCCAGTGTCTCAAGTATGTTCTTCACTTAAGGGAGCAGTTTCACTGACAGGCTCTGCGAGCTGGTTTTACTGTTCTTTTTCAATTGGGTAGTTGGATTAATAGGGAATGTTGTTCTTTAATGCTTATTTAAATATCAGTGAAAACTAGTTAATTGTATTTACATTTTTCTTACGAGTTCTGGGAAACCTAAACACTGCAGTATTGTGCATGTGAACAAAAATGTCAAATTGAACAATCCTGTTCTGCTCACTAAAGTAAATGAAATGCAAAAAGTCAACAGTATTGCTAGTCGTACTTTTAAACTGATAGGTGTTAGTAACTCAGGTAAAAAGTGCCCACTTGAAGGTAATCCCTTCCCTCTTCGCACTTACTGTCTCAAGTCATTGTATATATCTACTTGTTTTCCCACAGGCACAAATGACCAGCTCTTCCTGTCCTGTGAACTCTCCTGTAATGGCTCCAGGTTCTCAAGGGAGCCATATTCACTGCCCACCTCTTCCACAGCCTACCTTGCACCGAAACTCTCCCTCTCCAGTACCTAGCCGTACCCCAACACCTCACCACACTCCCCCAGGTCTGGGATCCCAGCAGCAGCAGCCGCAGGCAACACCAGCAGCAGCCGCCACCACTGCCCCCACCGCCCCCACCCCTACGGCAATGCCACCTGGACCGCAGTCACAAACTATGCACCCCCCTCAGAGGCAGACTCCAACGCCTCCACAGGCACAGCTGCCTCCACAAGTCCAACCTCCAGTTCCAGTCACCCCTTCGGCAGAGCAACAGCAGCAACCCCTGTCACAACAGAGCACGACTGCATCTGTGCCCACCCCAACAGCACCACTGCAGCCTCAGCACCCCACAACACCTGTAAGAAAATATTTTTATTTCTATGCTTTCCCCAGGGATACTCAGATGTGAGACTCTTTCAGACAGGAGCTTTGTTTATTTGTTCTATGTCCAAGACAATGGTGAACAACCTGTTTAAGAGGCATCTGAACCAATATGGGTATGCATTACATTTGAGAAGTACATTTTTGTGTCTGAAGACCCAGGACCAGTAAACTGGACACTGGAACACCTGACACTTCCATGTTGGAAGGATTTTAGAGAATTTTAGTGCACATTTAGGAGCCTACTGCAAAATATAGTAGATGTCTCTCATAATGCATTTATTTCCATGCATGTGTAGGGGTGGGATTGTACAGTAGGCATATAAAATTGTTAAAATGCCATGCTGTCCAAAGCAGATTTCAATAGCATGTTTCCTCAGACCACAGTTGTGCAGGAGTCAGTTTTTTTTCAAGGGAGGGGAATAAGTGAGGGGAATAAGTGAGGTGTAGTTAAATTTGAGGAAACATGACAGCAAATGAAGTAATAAAGTAAACTTGGCAGCATAATTGCTTGGCCCTTTTTAGTCACTGTGAGTTTCCCCGCAGCTTTCGCAGCCGGCTGTAAGCATTGATGGGCAGGTATCAAACCCACCATCCACCAGCAGCACAGAAGTGAACTCGCAACAGACTATCCCTGAGCAGCAGCAGCCACTCTTGCAGGAAGTGAAAATGGATATTAAAATGGAAGAAGAGGGGTCAGAACAAACAGAGCTCCAGATAGAGGAGAAACCAGAGGTAAGAGGATAGTTAATTTTTCTGGTATGAATTGATTGGGCAAGGTCAGTACTTGGATGGGGGATTGAAGAGAAATGAGTGCTGTGATTCAGAAGAGGGTATTCCCTCTAGGACTCTAGCTAAGCTAGTTGTAGATCCAGCTGCACCATAATTTAGGCACTCTCTCCTAGACCTGGTTTTGAGCCGGGGTAGATGAGTGCTTAAAATGGTGGCAGCAGCCAGTAGGCTCTCAGCACTGAGGTCCTCAATTTTGCTAACCCTGTGAGAGCTGAGTATGTGCCTGCAACTGGTTTTTTTTCCTCTGTAAAATGTTCCCTAGTGTAAGCAGTCACTATAGCAGGGGTGGCCAGCCTGTGGCTCCGGAGCCACATTCGGCTCTTCAGAAGTTAATATGCGGCTCCTTTTATAGGCACTGACTCTGGGGCTGGAGCTACAGGAGCCAACTTTCCAATGTGCCAGGGGGTGCTCACTGCTCAACCCCTGGCTCTGCCACAGCCCTACCCCATTCCACCCCTTCCTTCCCCCTCCCCTGAGCCTACAGTGCCCTCGCTCCTTCCCCCCACCCCCCCAGAGCCTTCTGCACGCCACAAAACAACTGATTGGGAGGGAGGGGGAGGTGCTGATCGGCGGGGCTGCCGGTGTGTGTGGGAGGCACTGGGAGCAGGGTGGGGGAGCAGATGGGGGGCTGCTGACGTTTTACCGTGCCTCTTTGGCAATGTACGTTGGTAAATTCTGGCTTCTTCTCAGACTCAAGTTGGCCACCCCTGCACTGTAGGTTTGATTCCCTATAATAGTGAATTGTGCTCCTGTGGGTTATATCTTTGAGCTGAAAAACTAAGGTCCTAATCACTTTTCATTAAAGGAACTTGTGGCTTTATGGGAAAGTAGCTTCACTTTTTGTCTTGCGGGGATAGAAACTATAGTGTCCTCACATTAAAAGCCAAAAAGGAGACTGGATCCTAGTGATCAGGGAGGTGGGATTCCTCACCAATTGGATGAGATGGGGGAAGGGAAGGTGGAGGTCAGTCTTCATGATTTAGTGTTAAATAAATTACCCATAGAACTATTTGAATCTTGGCAGAGACCACATGGGGAGGAGTGAAGAATAGGCTTAGGTGAGAGCCAGGATGAGTGAGCAAGGGTCATTTTTTCGTAGGAAGTAACGACAGGCAAGCTGTAGCTAAGCCCAAAAGAGACACTATCTTACTATATCCTCACAACAAGAGCAAGTGAGGGGCTTATATTGAATTAAGTGAAGGGAATCTGATCTGCTTTTCAGATTAAAGTGGAATCAGTGGTGAAGGAATGTATGACAGAACCAATGGAGCAAGAAGAGAAGAAACCAGAAGTGAAGTCAGAAATGAAGGAAGAGGAAGAAAGACCCAATACTCCAGCTACTCAGTCTTCTCCAGCACCAGGACAGTCTAAGAGGAAAAGTAAGCAAGAAAACTGTTGTGGTCTTGGGATTCAAATCTCTGGGGGAGTGGGGATATCTAGGCAGAAGCTGAACTTTCTTCAGTGTTTCCAATTTGCATATATGAACTCTTCTCTTTGTAGCTCTTGGACATAAGTATTAATATTTTAGTAGTACAAAAGTGGTTCTAGTGAACTGTTCTCAAATGTTATCTGACACTGAATCAGGTATTAGACACTCTCTGTAAAATAAGGATCGGAGACCCTTTCCTGTTTAATAAACGTCTGTAGGAAATTATCTTACATAAAAAGGCTGTATTCTGAGTGTATAAATTGGCTCTTGGAAGAACTATAATGCAGGAAGACCCTGTTCTCCTTCAAGTGATTGTGAACATGTACATTCCACTGCAGGTACATGCACCCCCCCCACACACCCCCCAATGCACTCAAGTCGGAGAATTTGCCAGCTGTATAACCAAGGCAGTGCATGCGCCACTGTTGTCTTCATGATGGGAGCTGAGGGCATGAAAAGGGAATGGCCGCCACCACCTCCCTCTCAGTTTCTTCTTGGTGCCTGTGGTGAGAGTTGGACTCTGTCATTGTTTAGCTTTGATTATCCAGCCTCTAGAAAAAACTTCTGTTACTCATAATTATAGTTACAGTTTAGGCTTCTTATAGTTTTCTTAGTCCTTTCATTTGGAGATTTAATATGGAAAAAAATCCCCAGGATTCAAATAAACAGGGCCATGATCACTGTTATGGACAGTCACAAAAGCTGCCTAATTTGCCTGGGGAGGGGGATGGGCATGGGCATGGCATGGGGAAGGGACAAATGTCTTATTAGTGCTTCTTTTCCAATGTGGACGAAGAAACAGGAATTTCTGCCTTAAAATCCATTTTATGGAAGAGGCAATGCGTTCCTCTTCAGAGTGTGACCCTAATCACAAGAGGATGGACAGCTTGTCCACGAGGAGTGTCCCTCCTGCTGTCTCAGCTTCTGAGCCCAGATTTGTTGAGAAACACCGCTCTTTCTCTTCTCTCGCAGCCTCCTCAAGACATTTTAACCATCTTTGTCTTCTGAGACTGGTAGGGAGTTGAAGCCTCACTCTTTAGCTCACAGGAAAACATCAGAGAAGATTTCCAATGCCAGGTCAAGGTCTAGTTGCACACTGATTCTCACCAGTACTATCTGAGGCAGCACCATCCCCTGGGGCCATCAAGACCAGCATCTCTACTGTTATCTAGAGCATCCTCAGCATTTGGGTCCTATACATACCATAGGCAGTGAGAACCGAACATTTGCCTCTGATTTTGGTGCCACCAACACTGCAGGCCTTACTTGCAGCAAAAGGACCTTTTGTATCTTTCCCCTACTGGACTCTCCTTTACTATATCGTCCAGCATCAGTCTTGACCAGTACTGTTGGCTGTGACATCATTTACAATCATGGCTCCATCATTTCAATTGGCTTCTTGAATACAGCCCTTGGTGACCGCCTCAACTTATCCTTTTGCCTTCCTGTCCCACTTCCATGACTGTTGGATACATCCTCCATGTCGGTACCTTTAGGACATGATCCCAATTTTGATGGTGCTGAGATGCCCACAAATGTCAATTGGAACAGCTCCTCCATTCACCAAGGGGAGCCATATCTCCTTCAGACTTTGACCACGGTAGACCCATATCTCCACCAAGGAGGGTTCAGGTCATGCTCTAGAGATGCCTGAATCAAGGGGCAAGATTGGCATTCTTACAAAGAGGCTCCTGTGTGGTGCATACCACCATGTGAGGTTCAAAGATTGGAATGGAACACCTACACCCACACCCCCCAACTTTATTAGGCATCTTGGACTGATCCAAGAGAGTCTAGACGCCTGTCAGTCTGAGGAGATTCCTTTCTCCCATACTGGGAATTTCTAGGGAAGATTCTACAAACCCTCAGCCCCTTCTTTTGTTGGAGCAGGCAGAGGAAAAGGATGCAAGGGAGGAAAGCCTAGGTGATAACCTCCCCCCGCCCGATTTAATCTTCCCGGATGAGGCCGTCACCCCAGAATCGATGTTACACCCCAGTAACAGAAAAAACAGCTTATGCCTCAAACATGTTACAGACCATTCTGTTAGCTAAGGTCTCAGGAGACCTCTAAAAGAAGGTCTAAGCATGCTAGACGTTGTCAGTTGTCATTGTCCATGGCAGCCTCTTCTCACCAGACCTCTTAGGGCTCCGATGATAGTTTTGATTACTTGATTGAAGACAGCACACCAGCTATATCTCATCTCCCACTATTTAGAAAGCATGTACCTCTTTTTCTTTATAGTTTTTGGAGAAAGATTACGTCAGACAAGTGGGCACTCAAAACAGTAAGGGAGGGATTCATTATCGAGTTCAATTCCTTTCCCTTCCCCAGCCCACTTTTCCCATCCCTTCTTCAGGAAGTAGTGTCTTTTTCCAAATTGGGAGCCACAGAGCAGGTTTTCCTTATCAACACAGAATGAAAGGTTTCTTTTCCCTGTACTTCCCAATTCCCACCAAGGTGGTCTTTGATCCAGTCTAGACCTTTAATAAAAAAAAAGGTTAGAAAATCAACTTGCTTCAGTTATCCTTTCCTTGGCGATCATATGCTGCCCTCAATTTATAGGATGTTTACTTTCATGTGGCAGTACACCCTGGCTACTGAAATTATTTTCAGTTCATAGCAGGCAGCAAGAACTACTAGTATGTGATGCTTCTCTTTGGGTTATCGTTGGCCCCATGGGTATTCACTAAGTGCATGATGGTGGTAGCAGCCCACTGCCTAGGTATACAAATGTTTCCTTACCAAAACAGTTGGCTAGTTCAGGGAAGATCAAGTACCCATGTCCAAAACAGCATTCTCATCTGACATCTGTTCTCTCATCTGGCTTTAAAACTAAATGTAGAGGCATCGGAATTGTGACAAGACAATGAATAATCTTCAAAGGAGCAGTCCTCTGTGCACCATGGCTTACTTCTCCACAGACAGGTTTCAGTCCATAGTCTCTCTGTCCAAAACCCTCAAATCCAACCCAAGGACAACAGAGCATTTGTCTACAACTCCTGGGTTACATGGCCGTGCGCATGTATATGACTCTGCATGCTAGACTTCACGTCAGATGTCTGCAGACCTGGCTCCACTTAGTATATCAGCCAAGCAGACGTTCACAAGACATGCTCATTTGCACCTGCCTGAATGCTTTAGTCCCTGGATTGTTGGTTGGACCATCAGAACATATGCAAAGGGGTTCCCTTTTTCATACCAGAACCAACTGTGACTCTTGTAACAGACACATCTACCAAGGGTTGCCGTGGCAGGATGTGTGTGTGGAGGTGGGAGGGATCTCAGTCAACTTTAGGCTCAAGTACTTAGGTTGCTTCAGGAGGCTTCACTCCATGTAAATGTGCTGGAGCTTCAAGCTATTTGTCGGACCCGCAAGATGTTTACGTCAACCATTAGGAATCAGGTGGTTCAAGTTCTCAGACAACACCACTGCTATGTTTTACCTGAAAAAGCATGGAGGTGCAGTATGCTAGAAAGCGATCCACTTGTGGAACCTCTATATAAAGAAGGTCTCACCAGAAAGCCTTTCACTTTCCAGGGGTGAAGAATGCTCTTAAGGATTCCTTCAGCAGGTAGTTTATAGACCAGCACAAGTGATCAATAAGAAAAGACATTTTGCTCTAGGTCTTCTGCCAGTAGGGTTACCCAGTAATAGACCTTTTTGCAGCCAACCTGAGCAACAAATGCAGGAGATTCTGCTCCAGGACAGGGTGAAGCCCAGGGTTCCATGACAGACGCCTTTCTTCTTTGAGTACTTGCTCATGTCCAGTCCATTCTATTCTAGGTGTGTGCGCACCCACTCGCACAGTTGTCGGAGACTTCTGCCTTAGCAGTATCCGTAGGGTGCTGTGGCGCCCCCTTGAGAGCCATGCTCATGCGTCGGTATATTAGGCGCTGCCAACCCTAAGCTCTCTCAGTTCCTTCTTACCGCCCATGATTATTGGTTGGAGCGCCTTGTCTTGCAGATCGCAAGAGCATTAGCGGTTCTTTACAACCTTTATCTTCTTTGTATATAGTTTGTAGGTACTTAATTAGTAATTAAGTATTAGGTTAGTTGGTAGTTAGCGTCCCGGCTGGGACTTCGTCCTGAAGCGGGGCATGCTCTCCCAGCTTCAAACCATGCTCGACATGCAGCAGGCCAGTGCCTATCAGTGACTCCCACGACAGCTGCTTGAAGTGTTTGGGGGAATCCCATAGAAAGGACAAGTGTCAAATCTGTAAAAACATTCGACCTAGAACCCAAAAGCGGGATATCCGCTTGATGGCCCTCTTCATGGAGGCTGCGCTTTGTCCTGCATTGGAGCCCTCCCGCTTCGGTATGGAGAGAACCGCTGGCACCAGGCGCCGACTAGCACTATTTCCCCCTTGCCAGCACCTAAGAATGCGGCAAAAGAAGAACCCCTGGCACTGGAAGGAAAAGGGGTTTTGGGCAAAGGGGTTTTGGGCAAAGGACAGATGTCAGGCCAGGTGCCGGCCCCGGGGCTTCACCAGGAATCCAACTCCGGGGAGAGGCAGGGGGCCCTGGTCTTGGACCTGCGTCGTCTCAAGTCTCTCAAGAACTTGAAGTTTCACATGGTGTCCCTGGTCTCTGGCATCCCCTCCCTGGATCTGGGAGACAGGTACTCCACCCTCGACTTGAAGGACACGTATTTCCATTTTCCGGGGGCGCAGGCGCTTCCTTTGTTTTATGCTTTGCCAGTGCCATTTCCAATTCATAGCAATGCCCTTTGGTCTCTTATCAGCCCAAAGAGAGTTCACAAAGTGCATAGTGGCAGTGGCTGCTTACCTCCAGCATCCGGGCTTTCAAATTTACCCATACCTTGATCGCTTGCTACTAAAGGGCTGGTCCCAGGATCAGGTGCGGTGGCATCTCAATCTGTTTTTTTTCACCTGTCATGACCTGGGGCTGGTAATAAATGAGAGAAAGTCAACCTTAACCCCACTATAGT